AGTACATATTTATTCCAAATCTGAAACCCCAAATTCAAATAAAAAATTTAACTAGGCAATCATAAGCTAAGCTTTGAAAATCAATTTTTGATTTTTCAATATCATAAATATCTCGATAATCAACTTTATCTATATATCTATTAATTATCGCGAGGTGCAAATCATCAATTAAAATATAAAGTGCATTGTTTTGTTCGGGCTCATTTTGCATTAAACTTGTAGATAGTGAAGCTCCTTGGAAAGAGCTAGTCTGAGATTTTATATTTTGAGGGTTTAAATTACTAAGCCCATTTAGTTGATATCTATTTCCTAAATTTGTTAATTCTTCCGTCATATTAACACTGTTTTGGCTATATAAGGAGTTTATATCTTTCTGCATGGATTTTGTTTTGTGTGACAAATCAGTATAAGATAATCTAGAATAGTTTTTTTTTTTTAAATTAGATATTGACATTGTCTGAGGTCTATTAAATCCAATAATGGATGCTTTAGTATTTGTAAGATGGTTTTTTGTTAGAGATAAAATGGGTGACGTCGTGGTTTGAGGCTTTTCGTCATTGTTATAAAATGAGCTGTTAGATGGTTTTAATTTTAAGCTGTTTATGCTTGTGAGCATATTTTTAGAGTTAAAATTTGATATCTGGTTCTGAATATAGCCATTAGATGAGCGATAATAGTTATCTAAAAACATCTTTAAAAATATAATATCTAGATGTAGATGGGAAAATTGCATAAAGTTAATTGATAATAGAAAATCAATTTTCGACTTATTGCCTAGATTAATATAACAGCTTCTCCACATTTCGACTAAACCTTTAACAAAGATTATAGACAAACCATATAGTATGTTTGAGGGAGTTAAATCATTTAAATTTTGAGGATATACATCAATTTTAGCGGTAAACAGCCTATTTATTTTATGAATTAGTGTAGAGTCTGCGTTATCATAGTTGGAGCCAATATGGCTTATTGGAGAAGAAATAGTATTAGCAGAAAATGAAATTTTTCTATAAAGCTGTGCTCCTTCATCAATATTTATTGGCGATTCGTGTAAATACCCCGGCGATTTATGTTTGAAAGATGAACTTGATTTAGTTTGATTTTTTGATTTATGGGGAGTGGGGCCTAAAGCAACTACAGGTAATACAATAGAGTCATATAACACATTTGACCTGACATTATTATCATGATTGCTTTTTAAAAAGTTTATTCTTGACAATAAAATTTCATCATCAAATAAATCTAATAGAATATCTTCTACAATCCCGAACCATCTTCGAATAACAAACATACTTGCGCTTATATTATCAATTTTGTCTCTATCTTCAAATGATTGAAATGAATTTTGGCTTGTGTCATTAGTTATACTTTTATTTTTGCAAAACTTGTTAAGCACTTTTTTATTTTGAAAAAGCCAATTAGAGTATAGTGAGTCCAAAACTATACTATTATTAGACTTAAAAAGCTGTAAAGTTTGTGGGAGCATCTGTCTGTAGAGGAATATAAAATCACTTCCAGTTATTTTGATAAATTGAAGAATCAGAGTTTCGGAAACTCTTAAAAATAAAATACATAAGCTATTATTATCAAATTTAAGCTGATGTGTGCTTAGCTCGAAAAAATCTAATTCAGCTTTTTTTTTTGCTACAGATTCAAATTTATTAGAATGTATGTTTGAAAAATCTTCTAAATAAGAATCAGTTTTACTATATGAAGTATTATTTTCATCCGTTTCATTAAACAAAAGAGAGCTTTCGCACATTTCAAATATATATTTGATTAAATAGTTTTTTAAGTTGAAGCACAACCTAGCGAAAATCAAGTACATACCTGGATTCTCAATTAGTGGAATTTTTTCTATAAAGCTTTTATCGATATTGAGTCTATTTATAGCAGCTTGAGTATTCCTATTTTCTATGTTCAATTCAACATTAAAACTTGCAGAAATTGCTAAAGGGAAAAAATCTCTAAAAAATTTATCAAGTTGGCCGTTAAGTATAGAAATAAATATTTTAAGTTGTGACGGCCCAGCTAGAATAATATTGTTTTCACTGGTTTTTCCATAATTGGATACTTTTTCTTTACAGTCAGATAAACTCAAATAGTGTGATGAAACTTTAGTTATTAGAGGCATAATTCTATTTGAGATTTCATCAATTAGTAAATGTTCTATTTTATTAAGAAACTCAGAAGGTTTTAATGTTTTCTTAGAGACTGCTCTCATTTTTTTAATCCGTGAAATATTTGCATCAAATAAATCAGAAATCTCGGAGTCTGCAATAATTTCATTCTCCATTGAGTATTCTAGCGTTTCATTGAATATTTGAAATATAATATGTTGAAAAATACTTGAAAATATTTGCTCATAACACTTTCTTATAGTTCTATTAATACACGTTTTTAATCCTCCAAACTTTAAAAGAATTGGGAAACTATTTACGCTAGCTGTAAATGCTCCGATATAAATTAAATATTGATCATGTTTATCAAAATCTTGAGCCTAAAAGTAAATATAGTGATAAAAATATTAGATATTAAATTATTAACATTTAAAGATTTAATTACCATTGCTTTAAGAATTGAAAGTTGAATATTTTGAAATTCTAAGACCAATTGATCGCAGAAATCAAAAAATAATCGATGAACCAATTCACAATCATCTCTGCTCATGATTTGCCAGCCACAGATCAAAGAATCGTAACTGACGCTTAGCAAAGCTTGGATTGAGCTATTGTCTTGAGTATCGATTTTTTCAAGAGCTTTAGAATTATTAGCATTTTTTATATATACTGTATCGCTAGTATTTAAGCTATCGCTAATGTATTTTTTAATAGTGCTGTAATCAATACCCTTATCTTCAGATAAGCAAATGTCAGGTGATAAAAATTGGTCAATAAATGCAATAAGAACAATGTTCCAATCTGCTAAATATTTCAACAAATCACTATTTTCTGGCAAATCAATATGGTCGTTCTTAGCCCATATATTTCTTTCCTTTTCAAGCCTAATATGCTGCCTAAAAAACATCCGATATCAAATTGTAAAAAAAATATAAATAAGTTGGTTTTTAAATATTAAAGTTAGTGAAATAAGAAAAATTACATTTTAAGATAATCTTTCCATAATAGGTTAGATTTAGTAGGTGATACTTGAGTAATCAAAAGGGAGCATTGTATAGCATCAGATATGCTAGTATTAGGGTCATTCCATCTTGAAAATAAAATATTTTCAATTTCTTGTAGAGTTACAGCGTAGTCACTTTCAATTTGCATTAGTCTCTCGGACTTGGGATGACTTTTTAAAAGAGTTATAGATTGGCCCCAAAGTAATATAGCATTAGTGTAATCTTTGTATATTACATAAGAGTGAAGTTTTTCAGGCATTTCAGAGAGTACATTTAGCTATTTAAATCAGGAATTTAAAC